GTGTATAATCCTTCCCCTGGAGTCCTGGCGTGGTGCTGTAGGTTAATGCACTGGACTGCAGTAGGTCTGAACTGCAAGGTCAGTGGTTCAAACTCACAAGGCATACTCTGAAACCCTATACAGGTTCGCTATGGGTTGGAACTGACTCAACAGCTGACTCGATGGCATTTAATAACAATAACAACAATCCTTCCCCTACTCGCTACCTCCCCCACCATTCACAGAAGGAAACATTATCTCTCATCTTTTTGGTACACAAACAGATTTGGAGATGTTAAGTAACTTAAGGACCCAGAGATATTAAAGTAACACAGCTAGACTTGAATCAAGTCTGTCATGCCCAATATTAATTCAACTTTATCACATAACCTTTCTTATTCATTCATTCACCAGATAGGCATTAAGAACCTATTATATGTTAATCACAATGCTAGGAATACAAAGATGAAAGATACAGAGCCTGGCATGAAGAACTCACAGGCTGGGCAGTAAGAGCCAAGCAAACGAAGAACCACAATACATCAAGATCCAAGTATTATCACTAAAGTACACATAGATCTTACAGAAGCACGAACTGGGGTAATTTGCCTAGAAGGAGTCAGAGTGTGAAAGAAGAGCAATTTTGAAAGGTAAGTAAAAGTCAGTTAAAGAAAGTAACAGAGAGTAGTGGAATAGTGTTCCTGAGATGGGAAGAATGCATAGAAAAGCACAGGGACACAGCAGCGCACAGCATGTCTTAGACTATAAATTTACTAGGTTATGTATAGAAGAGGGATACCATGCAAATACGAAGCTAGAGAATCTGGCCACAGCCAGATCTAAAAGGAGTCTAGCTGCTTAAGAGATTTACTTTTTCTTTACTTAGAAAGCAATGGACAGCTATTAAATCATTTTAAAGAGGAAAATGAAGTGATAAAATCTATATTTAGAAAGTTTTACATGACCAGAGATCACAAGACAATTTGTGAAAGAATTCCTGGTATTGTACTGTAGAATAAGCATTTGACTGTGAACCACAAGGTCAGTGGTTCAAATACAACAGCTGCTCCTTGGGAACCCAATAAAGGGTCAGTTCCAACTCAACAGCACTTAAGAACAACCACCTCACCTCACAGAAGGAAACCTGGTGACGCAGTGGTTTCAGTGCTCAGCTCATGACTGACAGGTTGACAGTTGGAACTTAGCAGCTGCTCTGTGGAAGAAAGATGTAACAGTTTCTTCCGTAAAGATTACAACCTTGGAAACCCTTTAGGAGGTTCGGGGGGCAGTTCTGGCCTGTCACTAGGAATTGAAATGGACTCAACAGCAAGGGATTTGGCTTTTTCTTTTATTAAGCCCAAAAGAAAAAAAGACTAATCTAAGACTCAGGGACACATGTGAGAAATATTTTGGTTAATCAACAGAACATGGTTATAAGTTAGCAATTTTTACTACATCGTATGTGTTTTTTAAATAAACAATAAACAAAAACTACGAGACCCAAGGAGAAAATTTGAGAATAACTATATCAAAATTCAGAATCAATGCCATACTTGGTAAGAACAATTCTGAGTTCTCTAAGTAATTTTAGGGTTATTACAAATCATAGATTTAGCACCAGTCTACTTTTGAAATCTTAAGTATTGACAGGACAAAGGAACATTTCTCAACTAACTTCCTCTATTAGATGAATGGCTTGTTTTGGTATACTTTCTGAAGCTGAGTCTCAGGAAATACATAAGCAGAAGTTATATGATAATGTGTCAAGGGTTTAATTTTAAAAAGATTTTCACAGCAGATAATTCCTAAAGTTCCTTAGAATTCAAGATTCTACAAGAAGACATGCGAAGTACATTATAATGACCAAGTATTTCAAGTGTAGCCCTCTACCCCTATCAAATGAGATTGAACCTTAGATAGTAATTCCAAGCATTGTCTGACAGTATGATCAATTATCTCACTATTTAAAATACTAACATATACATACTTCCAACTGCTTAGATCCTATGAATAATATGCTTTTTAGGGTTATGAAATTAACAGCAATGTCACAAATTCCTTATAAAACTCAGAGCAAATAATATTCAAAACTGATTACAGAACTGAGTAACATCTCAACAGGAAAATGATTATTTCTACTTCACACTGTCACCAAGCCCAATGCATGGCCACTAACAGAGTAAAAACAAAAATCATTTAGTTGAAGTAGGAAAATGCCCTGCAGTATGCAGAAGAACTGGCCAATCATTCAAGCTCTCTAAATAGCTTCCCCTTCCTATTAGCTAAAGAGGACTGGTGCCATGGGCACACTCTTACAGAGATTCTTTGATTCAAAGAGCTACTCAGTTAAATACAGGATTCATCTCTAAATACAGCGAATCTCAAAACAGCACAGAGGCTCCAAAATTGTAAGACAAAGTCAATAAAAAGTGTCATGAAATCCAACTTTTCACTTAAAGAATCTGGGTCCAAAATAGAAACACCAGTCACTAAATTAACCAATATTCTTATTTTCAGTAAATATTTGTAAACATTTTTTAATTCTACAAATAAGTTTCATAAAACAAAATTCAATGTCATGTTTGAAAGCAGTAATATAAGACTAATAGGCAAAAACCTAACATATATAAAAAGATTTCCACTTTGATCTGAGTTTTAAGACAACATAACCAATCTAATAGAAATGTAATTAATTGGACTTCCAAGAGGGAAGAAAAGGCAAAAATAGTTTAAATAATGGCCACAAACTTTCCAAATTTGATGAAAACCACAAACCCACTGATCCCAGAAGCTCAACAAACCCAAGTACAAGAAACATAGAAAAATACATAAACAACTTATTTATAAAGGATTCTCACCCAAAAATTCTATAACCAAATGTAATATAGAAATAACTTCAACTAAAGCTAACCTTTAGGCTAACTTATGAGGTAGAACGTTAGTACTGACCCTTCAGTAAAGTGTTTCAAACGCAACATTAATTTGAATAAAATGCTTAACAAAAATCCTAACAATTTAAAAATAGCAAAACATATTATCTTACCCTATCATTTAAATAATTCATTAAACTTGTGTTGATACTATTTTAGCACATTGTTTTTTAAAGCAAAACGTACTTCTTTTTCTTAATTTTCTTTCCCTTTAATTTATGTAGGTCATTCAGAACAGAATTAGGACACTAAAAAATTGTTAAGGAAACTGGGAGGTGGAACTGAAAACACAGAAGCAGATCTGAGGTTTGGAAAAGTCAGTCCTCCCCAAAACCAAAAAATAAAAAACCCAACAACTTGGCAACCACTATTTCAAAATATTACTTCTTTTTTCTTTTTTTTTTTAAGTATGAAACTACTCAAGAGTGAAAAAATAGAACCTTGGCTAACTATCCAGGTCTCAAAAAAAAAAAAAAAATCTAATGATTTTTGTAAAATAATCCTTCAAATAAAAAACAAAGTATAAAACTAAAGTAATATGTTTTATGTTTGCAAACATACTACTTGCTAGAGTTCAGCACACAAGTTCAAAACTTTCTGTCTAAAAACAAGCAAGTAAAGAGACATAGAGGAACAAGTTCTGATTCTCAATTGTAATGGCTACCCTTCCTGTCATGTGTTTACCCTAAAATAGAAGTCAATTTGGTTATTCTACCATTTTGCTTATAGGAAATAGTGGGCCATTTCAAAGATTAAAAATATATATAGTTCTATGGGAGAGCTGCTAAAAAAAATTTTTTTTTCACTATTTCTGGAAATAATCTCTGCATTTCTTTTTTCTTGAGGAAAATTATAACATACATTTCTTTGAATACCTATAAACATAAAACACCTTTGGGAAATATGCACTAGTATAAGATCCCTATAGAGACAACAGATAGTATAAAAAATAGCACACAAATCTCTTTGCGCACACAAACTAAGTTTTCACTGGACTTTTACTTCTGCCCCTTTTAAACAGAAAACCCTAAAAAGAAAACAATAATTTCCAATGAAATATAGAATTTACATTATGTAGTAAAATTATTAAAGCAAAACAGTACTTATTCTTTAATAACAAATAAATTTATTAATAATGCACTAAATTGCTACATAGATGAGAAAGTTCCAAATCTCTTGTAAATCAGTTTCTATTCAAGAGAAAAAGCCTAATTACACATTATTTGGAGCACAACTATATATAAAATACAGAATCTGATAACTTATATTCAAGTACTTAGAAGGTACGTATGCTCCAATAACTATTAACAATAAAACTGGACTGATTTTTATTTCACTGATTCAGTTGCCACATTATTACAATATTCAATTCCCAAGTCAAAAATCATACAAACCCAGTAACAAATAAAAAAGCCAAGGATATGCCTAAAAAATTATCTCATTGTCATTAAGTTTTCAGTTACCTGCATTTAAAAACCTCTAAGAATGCCTTAAGATGATCTACCAAAATATTAACCAATCTAATAATTCACAGTAAATCATCTAATAAGACTTTCGTGTGACAGCAACAGTCCTCCCTCCCCAGTCGTAACTATTGTTTGAAATTCTCTCTCTTCTGAAATGTTATTACTTCAACAGTTTTGAAATTGGGGCCATTTTTTTTAGACACAAAGGTTAATAAAGAAACATTCTGCATCGAATACATACAATAAGTTCACAGTAAAGTCTCCACCACCCTTCCCACCCCACCCCCTTTGAAACTAGATTCATATTCTTTCTCTCTCTCAGTCTGCTAAATTATCAAAGAACACACACTATGGTTTGGATTTCAGCGCTGTTGACTCTAAAGTGACAATATATGGTTCACAGAATGAAAAATTAAAGTTTCACCATTTTAACAGGTAAAATTATGGCATTGTGATAAATGTGCTGGGCATACAAGATTCTCTCTCCTTTCAAGCTCCAGTTTCTGAACCACCTGGACTTCTCTGACCAATAAACAAATCAGGGTTTTGAAACAAAAAGCCTCTAAATTCCCCAAATGCTTTTTCCCCCCCGAAGAAAGCAAGTTATCTAGACGAGAACACTTACATTTGCAGCATGACCTGGTTCAGGAATACCCCATCCACCAAAGCCACATATTCATCAAGGTTGGTCCCATTTCCTGCAGCCAGAGGTCCAAACGTTTTAACCTACAACAGAAAGATGATCATCACCGCACGAACGCCCACCTCCATCTCTGCAGCCACAAATAATGCAGCAAAGTGTACAATAAAGGACACCCCACTTACCCAAGTGACCAAAGGGCTGGTCATGAACTGCTCCAGAACGGGAGTAAAAATCTCGTTCTCCATCTTACAGATTATGAATTTGAAAAAGAAAAAAAAAAAAAGGAACTACCACAAAAATACGCTTAGGGAATTGGTCACCAAACGTTAAAGTAAGTAAAAATCAATAGAAGTCCATTTCCGCAAGAGAGGAAAATCCCATCGTGGAATGGGGAAAAGCTCTCCCTCCTCAAAAAACACTCAAAAGGGAAAAGAGCCGAAATCCCTAGAAGCGGCTTCGACAGCCGCCACGAGCTACAGCCTGTGCTGGAAATGTCTTTACCGGGCGAGGAGGAGCAGAGAAAAGGCATCTGGAGGAGGAGGAAGGGAAAAGGGGCAGGGGCAGCAAGACAAAAAGCCCGTCAAGGTTGCTCAGCTCCTGGAAGAGCAAGACCAGCGGAACTACCAATGAATTAATCTCAACGTGGGCTAAATGAAAGATCACGTTAGAAATCACGTTAAGGGTTCCAGTGGCCGCCAGACTCGACCTCGGCGTTCCGCTCAGCACGTTCCACACACCGTAGGCATGGAGCCGCTTCGACCTACGGAGGCTTCCCTGGCCGCAGCCCCTCACCACAGACAGGCAAGTCTCCCCCGTCTCCCCGGAGCAGACACCATCTCTCCACCGCTCTCCCGCCGCCCTCAAGCCTAACCTCCAGCCCCCTTCCCCTCCCGCGGGGGTGGGGGCCTGAATGTGTGTTCCTAACCCCCCAGCTTCCTAAATCCCGCCAGCCTTTTCAGTCCGCCTCTGGGAAGCTTTAGCACAAAAATCACGGCTGCGCCCCAACTTCAACCTCCGCCCTCTCTAGAGGAGCGGGAGTAACGGCCACAGAACCGCAATGCCGCATCACACCCCACCCCTCGCTTTCCAACCACTGCTACGAGCCCTTCGGCAAAAGCAACGATCTAGCTCCCTCCGCGCCAATATCCTTCCGCCGACTCCCCACCCTTGCCGCGCCGCTGCCTCTGGATGATAGAAGAAAACCGCTGCATGAGCGCGCTCCTGAGAAAGCGCGCTCCCGGGTCGGCCCCGCCGCCGCCCAGATGCCGGCGGCAAGCGCGCTCTCGCTGCAGCTGCTGCGGTGACCGGCGCCTACTCGCGCCCAGGACGGTTGCCAGGGCCTGGGGGTGGGGTAGGGAAGCCAGAGGAAGGGGTCTGTCTGCTTGCTCGCTTGCTCATGCCTAATTATGGTTTCTTTCCTCCCCCAGTGCTCTCTTTGATGTGTGAAGGAAAGGGAACGAAAATCCTCTTTTTAACATGAGGGATGCAAACAGCCATTTCGGACACTTTGATTTAATCTGTTAAGCGTGCTTTCCGTAGCAAAATGGAATAGGAAAAATACTGTAGTAAATGGCAAAGACATTCCAACTATAAACTTTTTTTTCTCTTTCTAAAATCTAGTTCACTAGTGCACGAATGTTCCTCAACGTTACAAGTAAAATGTAGTAGAATTTTAAATAACTAGAACTGTCTTTCAATATGTTGATATTTCCTGACTGGAGCAAACTTAACTCAGACATTGACTATTGGTCATTAAAAAAAAAAAAAAAAATCCAAACAAATCAAGAGCTACTAAGAAAAGACCACTTTGGAAGTCTTCCAAATTGGGTGACAAACAAACAGATTATATGTTTTGTCATAAGCCTCTGTGCTGTGCACAATTTAAACAGTTCTCCTACAAAACCCAATGTTACTTCGGATTTCCAGGGAAAATAAAGACTTTTTTTCCCTAGTATGAATTAGGCATATAAGAAAACAAAAAATCTTTTAAAGAAAATAAAAAGAATTGTATAGTTTTGCAATGTGTGCTGTGCTGACATTTACATAAATATCTACTTTAAGATGCATGATATTTTTAATTGGCAGTAAAAAATTCTTGTCATAACACTGAATTAAGAAACTGCACTAATGCTTAATTAGGTAGGTGAGAGCCTGGTCTTTGGAGATTTCCTATCAATTCAAATCCAAATACATACCCGCTGTGTGACCCTAGGCAAGTTCCTGAACCTCTCTGCTTCACTTGCTTCACCTGCAAAGCAGGGCTAATAATCGGGTTAAATTAAATGACAGCTGATAATAATGGTTCTATAAAACAGCCACTGTAAATTCACAGTCTCTAAGATGCTCTGGTAAAGGAGCTCTGGTAGCGTAGTGATTACGAATCGAACTTCGAACCGCAAAGTCAGCAGTTCGAAACTACCAGCTGTTCTGCAGGAGAAAGATAAGGCTTTCTGCTCTCGTAAAGATTTACAGCCTCGCAAACCCTGTACTGGGTCACTATGACTCGAAACCGACTCCATGGCACATAACAACAACAACAAATAAATGTTATTGGTGGGATTTTCATCCTTATTGCCGCCAAATGAAGATGTTTTAGTTAAAAACAAAAACAAAAAAGTTGAAATTAAACCTTTCCTACTGGTGTAGTGCTGTGGATTGATGAGCTTGACTGCAAGGTCAGTTTGACCTTCAAAGTCAGTGGTTCAAGCTCACCAGCCGCTCCTTGGAAATCCTATTCTGGGTTGGTATGAGTCGGAAACGACTTGCCAACACTTAACAACAACAACAACTTCACTTCATTGCAAGAGAAAGGCTCTTGCTTTTGTTGTTGCTGTTGTTGTGTGCCATCTACTTGATTCCAACCCATAGTGACCCTGCATAGGACTTCCAAGGGGCAGTTGGTGAGCTTGAACCACAGCCTTGCAGTTCGAACAACTTTGCAGTCTTATGCATTGTCCCTCAGCGCCTAAGTAGTGTAATAAATTGCTTCCGAAAGCATCCTAATTCAAATTGGACTACATGAGATAATGATGTATGGTATTTGTTAGGTGGCATGCTGAGGAAGAACACTGCATTGTTCTGCCCCTTACACAAGTGTCCCTTCATCAAGGTTGTTAAAAACGCTTTTCTCTGTGCTCTGATGACTCTTGCTTAATCACACTGCATTCTCTGATGAAAGAAACGCCGTAAGGAATGCAGGAGCCAAGAAGTAATCCCTAAAAAGGTTGTTTTATACAACATGGAAGTGTTCTGCTTATAGTCGTTTATAACACAAACCCTTCATCCATGTTGTTGTGTGATGTCCAGTCAGTTTTAACTCATATTGACCCTGTACAGGGTTTCTGAGAGTGGCTGGTAGATTTGAACTGACAACCTTGTAGTTACCAGTCTAGTGCATATCCTACAACGCCACACCAGGGCTTGCTTCATTCATAGATTCAAAAACCTTCTATTAAGTATTACACCAAGTACAACAGGTTAAGGACAATTTTGGACAGTGATTTTTAAAAGGTTAAGGCAGGAGTTGTCCATTTAGCATCAATTATCTAGTTTACATTTAGCCCTCACAGAAATCTGGATTCCTCTCTACAGCCAGATGGCTCCAGATGCTTCTTGGTCTTCCTTTAGGTTTCACATATAGGCTCGCGTGCACACACACGCACACACACACGAACATACACACTCAACAAAGAAACATGAGGAGTTAATTGTAAAAACAGGAAGCTTTAGACCAGACTGAGGTCTGGAGGAACTTATGTGAAAACCTACCAATTCACAATTCTCCAGCTTAACAACAGCCTTAGAAATGCTTTATAATATCTCCTGAGTACAGTCAGGAAATTTCTCTGTCTGACAAAAGAGAGATTGTGCTTACACACAATTTAATGATCTTTGAATTGCAACATCTTATAAGATTAAATCCGAAAGTTTCCTATCATCTTTTCACCCAGGAAGAGATTTCTCCAGATTCCTTCAAGGTAATTTTGTTTGGCATACGGTAGCCATTAATTTGTGTTGAATTCATCCTTTCTTAGAATTGTAAATCCAGCAGAGAAAGACTTTGGAAAAATCATAACCGTATGTTGTGAGGTGCCGTTGAGTTGGTTACCAACTCATAGCTACCCTATGCACAACAGAACAAAGCACTGCCCAATCCTGCACCATCCTGTTAATTGTTGTTATGCCATTGCATCAGAATTTTTCCTTTTTTTTACTGACTGTCCACTTTACCATTGGTGCCATTCTCCAGGGACTGGTCCCTCCTGATAACTTGTCCAAAGTATGAGAGACCAAGTCTCACCATTCTGACTTCTAAGGAGCATTCTGGCTGTACTTCTCCCAGAACAGATTTGTTTGGTCTTCTGGCAGTCCAACAAGGTACTTTTAATATACTTTTCCAACACTGTAACTCAAATGCATCAATTCATCTTCCTTACTCATTGTCCAACTTTCACATACATATGAGGCTATTGAAAACACCATGGTTTGGGTCAGGTGCACCTTAGTCCTCAAACTGGCATCTTTGCTCTTGAACACTTAAAGAGAGAGATCCTGTGCAGCAGATTTGCCCAATGCAATACATCATTTGATTTCTTGACTGCTATTTCCATGAGTGTTAACTGTGGGTCTAAGCAAAATGAAGTCTTTGACAACTTCAGTCTTTTCTCTTTTTACCATTATGTTAGTTATTAGTCCAGTGATGAGGATTTTTGCTTTCTTTACATTGAATTACAAGCCAAAATGAAGACTGTAGTCTTCAGCCCTTCCTCAGTAAGTATTTTAAATCCTCTTCACTTTTAGCAAGCAAGATTGTATCATATACATATTTCAGGTTGTTAGTGACTTTTCCTCCAATCCTGATGCCACATTCTTCTTCATATAATCCAGTTTTGTGAATTGTTTGGGCATCATACAGATAAAATAAGTATGGTGAAAGCATAAAACTCTAAGGTACACCTCTCCTAATTTTAAACCATTCAGTATTCCCTTGTTCTGTTTGAACAACTGCCTCTAGGTCTAAGAATAGGTTCCATGTGAGCACAATTAAGTGTTCTGAAATACCCATTCTTCACAATGTTATCAATATGATCGGCTCTAAATTATTTGCTCAGCTAATAATTTAACTGATGTTAAATGATTGGAAAGGACCACAGTCTGCATTAGGCAATATTAGAGGGAGATTCTTCTCCCCATATATTTCAGCTGAGGCTTCCCTCCTCAGGTTACACATACATGATGCTAGGCATACACCAAAATCACCATGTCTACCGCCATCTTGATCCACATTATAGGCGGTGTTAGACTCACGCCAAACTAGGTTCCATGGTGACAGATATTTTACAATACAGACTTGCAAAGTTAATCATAACCATAAAGTATACAATAGAAACATTACAAATACAGCAGCAGAACAGCACCTTTGTTCATAATAGTCAAAAAGTGGAAACAACCCAAATGTACATCAACTGAAAATGACTAGATGAATTGTGGCTATTTACCTGTGCTTTATTGATTATGTAAAGACTTTCAAATGTGTGGATCATGACAAGCTATGGGCAATATTGCGAAATATGAGTATTCCAGAACACTTAATTGTGCTCATGAGGATTCTGCACATGGACCAAGAGGTAGTTATTCAAACAGAACATGGGAACACTGAATGTTTTAAAATTAAGAAAAGTGTGCAACAGGGTTGTATTCTTTCACCATACTTATTCACCCAGTATGCTAAGAAATAATCCAAGAA